TTCATCCATACTGGTCTGTAACTTGCACTCAGTGTCCACAGGGATACCCTACACAGAGCATGTTTTACTGTTCAATTTACTTGCAACATGTCAAGAAATCTTAGATCCGTGGATACACTGCCGGAAAGCAATATATGTTTCTTCAGCTTTTGGCCTGAAATACAGAACATGCTTTTCATAAATTCATTATCATGAATTTCAAAATCAAATTGGAAATGTCAAATATAATTTCCACACACTGCCTGTGTACAGCTGCTAATTTATGAGTTTCAATTGGAGCATCATTTCTAAAAGTTTAATGTTTGCGTGAATGGCTCAGTTTTGCTTACAAAACTAGTAGTAAGCATCATTTTCTTAATTCAACCTAACTGTTGGCTCGTCCTCTGAGAAAGGTACTAAAACTCCTCACTGCCATCTTTATCTCTTTTTAAAACTGTCACACAGCTACCCAAAAACCATCACAGGCCTAGATTTACAGGCAATTTGTAGGAAATATTATTATGTACATTTATACGTATCTGATTCTTTGATCTAATACATTTTCAAAGCTACCTCTTATTTAGATTTCATCTTAAAATTACTTTTGTTTGATTTAAGTTGTTTAAGATAAGCGTGTCCCTGGTTTATTGGCTTTTTTGTTGTGTTTTTGTCTTGTCTTGGCCTTTGAAGCAGGAACTTTGCGAGTGAGTCACACTGTGAAACTCTCCTGTTATACTCTTACCATTGTGCCAGGCCCTAGACCTAATCCTGTCTAGCTATAACCTACCACTGTAAATCAATCTTCTTTCTCAAGCTTCTCATACCAATACTTAGCTTGTCAACTTCCATGGCATCATCTAAACTCAACATGAGTGAGATTATGTAATATTTGTCATTGTGTGCTTGGTTTATTTCTCTTACACAGTCTCCTGCAGCTCCATCCACATTGTTGCACATGGCTTAATTCCATCTCTTACTTTCCAGTAATATTCATTCATATGTATAAACTACATTTTCTTTACCTATTCATCAGTGGATAAACACTTGTGATTTTTCACACCTCCTGGCTATTATGAAAAGTTCTGCATTAAACACAGGCATGGCCCTGTCTCTTTTCCTCCTCAGTTCCATAGGCTCAGGAATTCATCCTTCCACATTCCCATTCACCCTACCTGCCTCTGTCTTCCACTGTACTGTTACAATAGTGGAGTCTTCCAGCAACAGTCCCAAGTACATCATTCTGCTATTTAAGTGTTCATGACATTGTAGGTATAGACAATGATAGAAAGTCCAGCATCCTATTGTCCCTTCTTTTATTTGGGATGCTGCACTGTATCTTCACTTCTTGGTATGCAAATTTCCATTACACAGTTCCCCTAGGTGAATATACTTATATACATGTTTACCTGTGTGGCTATTGATCCTGTATTTTGTATGAAGGTTGCCTTATAGCAAAGAGAACATGTGATTTTTACAGCACCTGCTGGTGTGGATGTGGGGAAGAAAAAATATATTCTAATTTACATTGTGGATATTTTCCTTTGACTGTAATTATTTAGAATTTATATAAAATCTGAAGTATTTGTGTTAAAGTGTTTGGATAATAATCACTATAAAAATAAAATGTTGTAATAGATAAATTTCCCTTTGTATATAAGACAAAAGATACAAAATTATCATAAATAGCATATTTGTTATTAAAAGGTAGATAGGTAGATATAATTGTTGTAACAATTAAATATAAGGACACAGAAATTAACATGAACATCTACAACCTGTTAAAAAGTTTTTAAGTTTCATGGGACATAGAATGAATTTCTCTAAATCAAAATAGGATAAACACACAATTCAAAGTAATGGAAATTTGATGGAAAATTTTTCAGATAATATGTGGTCATTAAATACAGCTACAAGCATTAAATTAAGAGTAAATCTTTAAGTATAATTTACTGCAATCTGTTTGAGGGGTACTTTGGAAATTTACTATGAAACCCTCAGAGTAGGAATACATTTTCATTTTCAATTTCTCTATCTAGTAACATGTACAAACATACTTTCTTAGTAACTAACTGCTAGCTGTAAAGAAAATCCTTAGAAGTTTAATATGTGTGATGATACAATCACAGAATTCAATATAACAGTTACTTTTATGTAACAGTGCTCATTTTACGTTTATTAAAAATCAAGAGTGGTTTAAAATACAAACAACTGTTCAACAGATGTTTTATGTATCACTGTATCTTCTATGATTTCTGAAAATCATAAAAAATGGTTTATCAATTAGGTGAAAAAACACCAAATTAAATAATAGAAATCTATTTTAAAACATTCCTGTAAGTATGAATGTATTTCTTTAAAATGCAAAACAAAATCTCTTGCTTTGTGTCGTCCAATATTTTCCCATTTTTATTATGTTTTTAGTGATTTTGGACAAAAGTAGAAGATGGCATAATGTGTTTTTCAACCTGTGTACATGAAAGTGAGAAAATGCAAGAAGGGCTTGGGTTTGATCACCTTGCCTTTTTGCAATTATCTCTTGACCTTTTGTGTACCTGTCATTAAGGTTGCATCTTCGTCTCCCCCAGGACACTGCCCCTCCTTAAGCTTTTTCCAGGATTTGGCTCAAGTTTGAAAAGACTCATTAGCGTGTCACGAAGGACTCAGTTGTTTACTATTTAGTTTCAAATTTAGCAAGTAAATCAAATTTGAATCTTCACGGTGTCCACGTGGCTCAGACTATCCAGAGACTATGATGTACATGTCTTGAAACCAAAAGGCAACAACGTTTCAAACAATGTATTTTGAGCCAGGTAAGGAGGAAAGTATTTCCTAGACAAAAACAAGACCACAATTCTTGAGGAAAAACACTCAGGAGCTCTGGGCCTGGGAGTGCACTGGTCAGGTTGAGTAGGGGATCACAAATGGCTGGGAAGGTTTCACATCAGCCTTTAGGACTCTTGCAAATAAAGCATCATCTGAAGCTATTACGCAGTGCCAGAAGAGAAAGTACTATGGCTATTTCGTGTACGCTCACTTTTGGTAGCTCTAAATGAAGATGTTCTCTGAAAATTTTACTGTGAGTTAACAAAATGAGATGTACTTATTTTAGTGATTACGTAAAATTCCACCAATATTTCTCAGTTGTATTTCTTTGGATGCTGGGGGTTTTTTTCAATTAAAATAGCCATTTTAGTAATTACAGTGTTTTCCTATTTTCCCTGAGATTGTTTCAGAATTTCGAAAAAAAAAATCATCACTCCTTCCCAATGACTTACTAGATTAGACTATCAGCTGTTATAATGATCAGGTGACCATTCCAGATTTCTGAAGAAAGTGAACATTTTAACTGAACAAGTGGCAATAAAATACAGTAAGACAGCATGGAAAAACTACAGAATAACTGTTAGTACAAATCACAAATTTATTAATTTTCATTTAAAATATAAAAATGTCTACATAGGAGCAGAAGCAGAAAATCTAGGGGAAGAAAATTTTCAATTGCAGAAGACAAGGATGAAGGTCTTAAATGTGAACTGAGCAGATAACTATTCCAGGATGTAATTGTGTGAGGAAAGATCAAAACAAAACTTAGGTCAAATAGCAATATTAACTTACTTAATACCATTGCATAATAACATAGCATTTTTAGTATTAGTTCACTTAATACCATAGCTATATCTTAAGATTTTTCATATGGATACCATACCATAATTATAAGAAACTGAAGGAAATGTAAATTTTGTATATGTTGTGTTGGTAATTGCACAGTTTGAAATAAACAGATCCTTTTTCTTTAAATTTCTAAGAATTACTGTTAGCTTATTACAACATGCTGACCGTAGACATTATCACAATTATGAAGCAAAGAAATAAAGCACGCTGGAAATTGGTTTAAAATTTGTAATATTCTTAATTTTAATGTAAGTAAAATTTTGAAATAGCAATTACAAAAATAAGGAGACATTTAAAATTGGCAGGTACAAATATAGTGAGTTGAAATGAAAGGATACAAGTACACTTACAAGATGTAAAATGTTTATAATATATTTTAAGATGAATAGCATATAAAAGTTAGGTATTGAGGAGTGTAAATTTGTTGGTGTCTGGTTTGACTCAAATATCTCCATTAACAAAGACACAATATTTGTATACATTAGAGTGAACACATAAGTGGAGAGAAGACAGTTGCCAGTTCATTTAGTTTAGAAGATAATTATACAAGCACAGAAATTTCATGATATGAACATTAACTAACACGAATCCTGTTCCAAATGCTAACCAACAACAACAACAACAAAAAAAGGCAAAACCAAACACCCTTCTCCAAAACCCCAAGATGAGCAGCAGTACACAAACCTACATAAGAGACTGAAAGCTAAGAGACATATTTTTTTTTGGTTTGTTTTTCAGCTATATATCCTTGGACTGAAGATTTCTTCACATGTACCAGATAAGTTACATACTAAAATACTCTCTGTGTGGTATGTCCCAGGGGACGTTGAATTTAAACTGCATACCAGCAGAGAAACAGGACTGTCCATGGAGTGAGCCGACTATGTGAGAAAAAAAACAACATAAACCTGTGCTTAGTACAAATATTTTAAGTCACAAAAATGATTACAATTTCATAGTCACTTTGAAAGAGAAGCAGTCCTAGAAAGAACAAAAGCTTTTTAAATTGTGAGACGCTGTGAAACAAATGTCAAATTAGGATCATTTTTGTGTTGAGTGTTGATTATAAATGAAAAACAAACAAGGAAATTTGGATAATGAGCAATTTTACCAATCATTAAGAATACATTCAGCAATGTGGTAGCCAGCCAACCAAAGAACTGGTCATAATCAATTACTGCATAGAGGAAATACAATATATGAATTTAGCTTGTTGTCACTGTTTATTGCTACTTGACCTTGATACTCCTTACCCAAGAAAAATAGCAGAAACTTTAATCAGTTGACTATAATTCATTCATTCATTTGATTATGTAAAATAAATAAGATTGTATAAGATTAAGTCACCAATGATGAGAAACCACACCATAACAACCTTCATCCTGTTGGGACTGACCGATGACCCTCAACTTCAGATTCCAGTGTTTGTGTTTCTGTTCCTCACTTACATGTTGAGTATAACAGGGAATCTGACCATCATATCACTCACCTTTTTGGACTCCCACCTCCAAACACCCATGTACTTCTTCCTACAAAATTTTGCCTTATTAGAAATTTCATTCACATCTGCTTGCATTCCCAGGTATTTGTACAACATTGCAACAGGTGACAGGTCAATCACTTATAGTGCTTGTGTCATTCAAGTGTTCTTCACAGACATCTTTGGAGTAACGGAATTTTTCCTCCTGGCCATTATGTCCTATGATCGCTATGTGGCCATCTGCAAGCCCCTGCACTATGTGACCATCATGAGCAGCAGAGTGTGCAGGAGCCTGGTCCTTGGCTGTTGGGTGGCTGGTTTGTTGATCATATTTCCACCACTCACCCTGTTCCTCAACTTGAAATTCTGTGACTCAGACATAATTGATTATTTTTTCTGTGATGCCTCTCCTATCTTGAAGATCTCGTGCTCTGACACATGGCTCATAGAACAGCTGGTGATCGTCTGTGCCGTGCTGACCTTCATTCTGACTCTAGTGTGTGTGGTTTGGTCCTACATACACATCATCAAGACCATTCTGAAGTTCCCTTCTGCCCAGCAAAGGAAAAGGGCCTTTTCCACCTGCTCCTCCCACATGATTGTGGTCTCCATCACATATGGAAGCTGTATCTTCATCTACGTCAAACCTTCAGCAAAGAAGTCTGTGGCCATCAACAAGGGTGTGGCGGTGTTGATGACATCCATTGCTCCCATGTTGAACCCATTCATTTACACTCTGAGAAACCAACAAGTGAGGCAAGCATTCAGTGTCTCCTTCAAAAAAATTGCATCATTCTCAAAGAAAAAGATTCAAGTCTAGTGGTAAAATATCAAGCTAAGCATAAACCATTGAGCTTCAATTCTATTTGTCTCTTTCTGATCTAGTCTCTACTCAGTTCAACATTCTTAAACATTTATTACACTTGGAAGAAATATTTTTCACTACTGAAGTTTATTCTCTTAATATCATGCAAACTACTTTCAAGGTAAGTTCCTAATAAGAAAATGTAATAGTATTTTTCTAGCAAGTGTCACCTTAATTTCACTTCTAATGTAGCAACAAAAACTGAAAATCAAGCAAAATGGTACAAATTCAACAAGAAAATAGCCTATCTTAAATTTGCTTGAACTTAAAATAATTTAGAGTGATTGCTATCTCTTCCAATCTGAATTTTACTGAACAGTATGAATGATTAAATCAGAGAATTTAAAGTGTCCTCTGGGCAAACAGAATTCAAGACAAGGACAAAAAAATTATATCCCTTAACTTATTTAGCTTCACTAAAAATTCCTATAAAGATACTACAGTTAGTTAAAAGAAATGAATTAAAAGGCTAGTTCATTTTTCAAACAAAACAACTTACTGTGTAATTCCATTTTTCCACAAACTTTTTGAAGTATGTATACATATAAATTTCTAAAATTTAAGTGCCATTTTCAAGTGATATATTTATGAAATAAAGAGAAAAATATCTGTCCAATTAAAAGTAGAGTTTGACATTTAGGATCCTGAGCTTTGCTCATACACATAAAATATATGTGAACTTGTGAAATAGCTAAGATATTATAATTAAAAGATTCAGAATATATAACATGAAAGTGAGTAAAAGGGTGATATCTAATAAGATGTGCATTTGTAAGTCTGATGCCAAAACGTTAGGTGCAGTTGAACAATTTAGTTATTAAGAATAAAGATTATATTTAATTGCTAAAATAGAAAATAATTTTAAATGTAGCTAAGTGAATCAGTAAATTTCTAATTTCACTAGAAATCAAGTAAACCAAAGTATCAATATACATGTTAAACAATTTAAAAAGAAATCCCAATTTAAAAGCCAATTTGAGTTCGGCCTTGGAATGCAGCCGATTAAACCACCTCCTACTATGCCAGTATCCCATGTGGATGCAGGTTTGAATCCTGGCCACTCCACTTGCTCTCCAGCTCCCTGCTACTGCACCTGGGAAATGGGCGGATGGCCTGAGCCATTTGTTCACTAGACCATCCTATCACCGATGAATTCCCTTACACCTTGTTTTTCCATTATCCTGCCAATTTTTACTCTTTCTGCCAAACCACTGTCTTGATTACCATGGTCATGCAATAAATAATAAATGCCTAAAATGAGGCATTGTTACTTTTCCATTTATTTTCTCCTTTCTCAAATTTGTTCTGGCTACTGGATCTTGTTTTCACTGGCAGATAAGTGTTCCACCACAATTAAAACACACTAGATTTTTTTTTATGGCAATCAATCTGTGGATCAATTTGAATAGAAGTGAAAGCTGATGCAATTATTCCCTATTTGGGGATACAACATTTCTTTCCAATTTTTACCATCTTCTTAATTTCTCTCAGCGAAAATTTCTTGTTTTCAGAATAGAGACCTACACTATCTTTTGTCAGGTTCAAAACTGTGTTTCATATTTTGAATGTCATTACATGTTTGTTTTAATTTCAAGCTCTTTTTTTATTGCTAATATTTAGGATTCAACTTAGTTTTGAATTAATATTTGGAGAGTCAGAGAAAAAGATCTTCCATGCAATGATTAACTCCCCAAGGGGCGACACTGGCCAGAACTGAACTGTTCTGAAGCCAGGAGCTTCCTCTAGGTCTCCAAAGTGGACGCAGGGCTTAAAGGCCCCAAGTCATCCTTCACTGGCCTCCCAGGCCACAAGCTGGATGAGAGTAGAGCAGCTGGGCACAAACCAATACTCATATGGGATCTGGGCACTTGCAAGGCAAGGATCCAGCCATTGAGCCATCACATGGGGCCCTGTAAAATGAAAAAAAAAAATAATTTTTAATAAAACCAGAGAAGTATCACCTAATCTTTCTTTAGATAAGAATGCCACCATGGAGTTAAGTCTCATGGGGTTGAAATCAAGGCAAAGGGCCCAGCACAATAGCCTAATAGCTAAATCCTCACCTTGCATCTGCCAAGGTTCCAATGTGGGCACCAGTTCATATCCTAACTGCTCAGTTCCCTGCTTGAGGCGTGGGAAAGCAGTCATAGATAGCCCAAAGCCTCGGGACCCTGCCCCTGTGTGGAGATCTAGAAGAAGCTCCTGGCTCCTGGCTTCAGATCAGCTTAGCTCAAGCCATTGCAGCTAGCTGGAGAATGAACCAGTGGGTGGAAGCTCTTTCTATGTCTTGCCTTCTCTCCGTATGTTTGCATTCCCAGTAAGAAAATAAAAATAAATCTTAAAAAAAAAAAATCAAGCAAAGCCTCCAGGCTTCCTTCTGTATGACCTGAGGGAAACACTCCTTCCTGGACTCCTATGGCTTGCCCAGTACATCCTCAGTGCTTGTCCAAACGACTCCATTCACCTCCAGCAACAGCGCATTTCTTGGTGTCACATGGTCTAAACTTCCTCTGATTCTCTTCAACCTTTATCCTTATGTACTCCTTTATGATATTAGAACTGTCTGGATAATCCACAATTTTTTTCTCTATTTAATTCCACCTGTATGCATGTTCTATGCCCTTTTCCGGGTTAGACAGCATGTTCGTAGATTTGAGAGCTTCAAACGTTATTCTCCTTGCCATAGCACCTTGGATGGGCCACCCATCTTGTGTTTTTATTTGAGTTGCTGCTTCGGGACTTAGAATATACATTTTCAGTTTGCCACAGTCTAACTGAGACATCATTGTACTGCCCACGTAGGATGGCATTGTGAAAGTTCAACTATCCTAGCATTTGTTCCATGGTTGTTACATGTTTTTGGTATTATTATTATTGTCAGTTTAAGCAATCATCTTTCTTAACAATGCAGAAATATTTAGATGATTGCCCACACACTTACCATTTGTGACACTGTCCATTCTTTTAAGAAAATCCATGTTTCTATTTTAAAACAACTTTCTTCTTCCTTATGATTACATAAATTTTATGACAAAGTTCACTAAGTTGTGCACTTAAAATTTTCACATCCCTTATATGCCTACACTAATATTAAATTCAACATAAAGGCAAGAAATGCATAACAGGAAATACAGATAATGCTAAGAGTTATATGTAGATAGGGCATCACTCTCAAAAAGACGCATTCACAGGCCTGGCGCGATAGCATAATGGTTAAAGTACTTGCCTTGCACGCACCAGAATCCCATATGGTCGCCAGTTCTATCCCAACGGTCCCACTTCCCATCCAGCTCCCTGCTTGTGACCTGGGAAAGCAGTCGAGGACGTCCCAAAGCCTTGGGACCCTGCACCCGTGTGAGAGACCCGGAAGAGCTCCCGGCTTGGCTCCTGGCTTCGGATTGGCTCAGCACCAGCCGGTGCTGTCACTTGGAGAGTGAACTGTCAGATGGAAGATCTTCCTCTCTGTCTATCCTCCTCTCTGTATATCCTCTTTTCCAATAAAAATAAACTTTTAAAAAAAAAAGATGCATTTATAATATAATGCTCAGGATCTGTGTTGTCTCAGCCAGTTAAGCAATTTCTTGTGATGCTTATACCCCATATCCCAGCTCAGATCCCTTCCATCTTCCTGCTAATGCTCCTGGGAAAGCAAAGAATGATGGCCCCAGTGCTTGGACACCCCTACCCTCCTTACCAGGGACCTAGATAGGACTCGAGGGTTCACACTTTCATCATTGGGGCTTGAACAGGCAAATCAAAGATCTCTCTCTCTCTCTCTTCCCCTTTTTCACTCCTTCCCTCTCTCCCTCCTCCCATTCATTCCCTTCTTCACTGTTTCCCTTCCTCTTCAAATCAAACAATTATTGTAACAGTGTCAAGTAATTCCTCTCAGAAAGCTCAACTACCCCAAGTCCAGGCAGCCTCACTACCAGGGCAGATGGCATGCCTGCAGTCAACATGAATAGAAACAAACACTTTTCTGAAGAGGCAAATGAATGTGGAAAATACGACGTAACACTTAAAAATCATTTTATAAATTATAAAATAGCAAAAGCATAGGCAAACAACTTAGTATCTCTAAAGGGGCAATAGGATTTACTATAATTTTTAAATAATGTAAACAAACTTGAGGCCCAATTAAAATGACAGAAAAAATGTTTTCAAATATGAGAATAGAAATGTTTGTTGGCTTAAAAATAATAGTAATACTTGCTAAATTTAATATTAACACAAAAGCACTCAAACTAAAATTATATATAGAAAGCAGTATGGCCATTTGGGGAGAATTTGGATAACAACGTAAAAGCTAACATTTCTGATAATAGAAACCACTTTACTTCTGATATTCTAAACCTAGGAATTAGCTTAAAATTTGCAAAACTATTTGTGGAAGGATGAGATACAGCAAAAAAGCTAAGTTACTGAAAAATAGCTTGGATAAATATCACTAGCTTAGTGCTTAATCATGTATTTTTTATTTTAATTTAACATGTAATCAGGAGGAACACTGTACTCCAGTCTTACTTGGGTTTTTGGTTTTTTTTCTTGTAAAGCCTATTTATTTTTATTGGAAAGTCAGATTTACAGAGAGAAGGAGAGACAAAGATCTTCTGGCTGGAGCTGAGCTGGAGCTGATCTGAAGTCAGGAGCTGGGAGCTTCTTCTGGGTCTCCTACATGGGTGCAGGGTCCCAAGGCTTTGGGCTGTCCTCAACTGCTTTTTCAGGCCACAAGCAGGGAGCTAGAAGGAAATTGGAGCACCCAGGGCACGAACTAATGGCTATATGGGATCCTGGCATGCACAAGCCAAGAATATTAGCCACTAGGTTACCACCCTGGGTCCTACTCCAACCTTCTTATAGCCAGCTGAGATGAGGAGCAAATAAAAAGACACACACACACTTTATCATCTGATATTTTTTTCAGTGTTTATTTCTTTAACAGGCAAGACGGCTGAGACAGAGACCCTTTCTGCTGCTGGTTGATTCAGTCTCCCAAATGCTTTCAATAGCAAGAGTTCAGCCAGACCACAAATGGAGCCAGGAAGAAATTTCATTCATGTCTCACATGTGTAGCAGATATTCAACTACTCAATCCATGGGCTGTATATCAGGTACATTAGCAAGAAGCTGGATAGGAAGCTGACCCTCGGGGACTCCAAAGCAGGCAACCCCTTGTGGACTATGCAAGCATCCCACGCTGTGGCTTAGCCCAGCAGGCCCCAGTGCACACCCCTAGCAGCTGATTTTTAATGCTGTTGGCTTGTATGGACTGCTTTCTGGTAACCTCCCTTTCCTGCTACGCTTTTTGGGATTTCTGCCAAGTTCATTACACAGAAGATTCATTAGTGATTTTTAAAATTGGCCACCAAGGTCTCTTTTATAAATTCCTACCAATTCTGCTTTGGCAAGTGAAATAAGCATTTATCTATTTAAGCAAAAACTTACCCTTTCCTTAGGAATCAGAATATGAACTAATTAAGCCAGAGAGAGTTCCTGGCATCTCAAAAGCTTTGAATACTGTATTACTTTCAAACTTAGAACAGTTTAGAATGGGTAGAGCCCTTGATGAGCAAGCCTAGGCCATATGTCATAGATGAAAATATTGGGGATCCGAGATCTTTCTGAGGGTAATAGATGGCGTGACAATCAATGAGGCAGAGTGATCAAATTCAATCAGGAATTTTCAGAAGGAATCCACCTTCCTGATACGCTGCACAAGAATGCTTCTCAAAGATCCAGTGCGAGGTATGTTGACTCACAGAAACATTAAGTACCATTTTTGTGATTTTTACCTATTTTTTTTTACAAATTTTCGGGGTACTATGTGATGTTTCAATGCAAGTACACATTCTGTAGTGTCCAGTTACTGTAATAACCAATCAAGTTAAAATATATATATGCAAATATCTTCTGACATTTAGCATTTAGGGTTTTTTTTTAAAGGTGCATTTTGTAAGCTTATTATTTGTTTTACTTTTTGAAAGGCTGATTCATTCCCCACATGCTCACATTAGCTGGGGCTGACCCAAGTCAAGCTTAGAGCCTGGAACTCCTTCCTGGTCTCCCACAGAAGTGAGAAGGATCCCCAAGTAAGCCTTCAGAGGAAGCTAGAGATGGAAGCAGAGCTGGCATTTGAAGCCAGTCACTTTCCCATCTAAGACGCTGACATCCAAAGCAGCTGCAGAATCACGACATCAAACTCCCACGCCCACATTTAACATTTCTTTATGATAAAAAAAACATATTTCTTTTTGAGAAACAGCTCTGCCTTTCTTCAGAGAAGTTGATTTGGTCTACAATGATCGAAATCAGTGATGTTGCAACTATTTACAATACAAAACTAAATGTATACGTGGATTGTACATTTTGTAGAAAGCAGAAATTCTTGGTTGGGTGGGGCTTCTCCCTTTATCTCCCCCTTTACCTCAGATGCAGGTAAAAAACAATGTGGGAATAATAGTCTTACCCACTTTCCTGTAGCCCTTGAACCTTTTTGCCCTAGTTAACTATTGTCAAAAATAAAGAAAAAAATGAAAAAAAAATTAAAATGAAATAAAATACTTCCACAATAAAAAATAAATAAAAAAGAAAGCAGTAACTGAATAAGCAAAGTAGCCATGATATTAAGAAATGATTGTTATCTAGTCTGTGGCCTGATTCTTCTCTGATATAAACTCACACTCCATTTAAAGTGAAAGCAATGTATATTTATATGCACAATCATAACTATACATAAATAATTCATTCAGGATTTATATAATCTCAAAAAATTTTAAACTCACATGAACTATAAGGAAACCAGAAATATCAGTTACAGTTCAGTTTCAATAATTTTCTCAAACTTTATCTGTGTTTTGTACAAGAGAAATTTTCTATATTGTGAAAGTAGACAGATATTTTTGCACAAAGGTTGCTATTCAGAGTGGCCAGTGTGTTTTTACTGAACTTGTCTGAGCTAGAGAACAGGGCTTGACAGCAGACACGATGAGCTGCTAGTCATCCAGTTTATTTTATTTGATCTGCTCCTAGTCCCAGTGTCCGTGCAATTCTTGGACATGTCATGGAGCTCCCCAGAAAGCCCTGGAAAAGTCTCCTTTCTCCATGACGGTGACTTCATTCTCTAGGGGTTTGATTGGAGTCTGCATATGTCAAAAGGAAGGAAACTTTTAAACTAAACGAAGGAACCTATTCAATTTAAATCTAATTGATGCCACATAGAAAAAACTTTTCCATCCATTAGCAAAATTATGTCTCAAACTCTAGTCACACTGATTCAGGATATAAAATATTCAAGATTATCAGCGAATAGATTTTTAGAAACTTATACTTACAGTGCCAAGGTTAGGTATTTGAAAAAATCGAATAAAAAGATAGCAGCTAGTCAACGCTTCAGAGCCAATTATTTTGTCAAATTTGACATTCACTGTATAAAAACAGATGGTTTTCTCATGAGATGATAGCATTTAAAATTACAATGAAATAATTACCTCCTAATCTTTTCCAAAGTTTATAGGAATGAGTTTCCTACCACTGAGAAGCATTTGGTGTCCCTAAGCTGAAGAAAATGGGATGCCATGGAGGTAGGCAGGTTCCTGAGTTGGGGTGTCACTGCTCTTAATGGGATCCCTTGCAGTGGCTCCCATGTGACCCTACCATCTTTCAGAGCTCCAGCTCTCAGGAAAACCAAGATCCTGACTAAGGCACTTCTCTGAGTGGCATGAAGTGAGAATGTATACACATGATTGGGGCTGACCCTGTCCCCACACTACTAAGAAAGGACTGTTTCAGCCAGTGCATTGGGCTCCAGTCTCACTACTTTTGTATTGGAGTCTCCCGGAAAAATCCAATTTCATTTACATATGTAATAAAAATAGCAAACTGATCAGAAACATTTCATTTGTGGATTTTGTGATTCATTTGCAGTAACTGAGGAAAACATCATTAAGGAGATATGGGCCCAAACTGAGTATTGCAAAGCTGACTTATAATTTTGTTATCTATTATTTATATCCTATTTAGTTCTCATTTATTTATTATATTCTATATTATCTTCAGAAAGAAAGTGGGATTCAACAACTCATTTACGCAATGTATAGAGCAAGCAAGAAAAAAACTTATTTCTTTGGTAAGACATTAGCAGACATGGTAGGATTTGTGTGGTATGGTTTCATTCAGTAGTAAATAGCTTACCGCAAGCAAAACACCATAAATAAACATAAAATGCAAAATAAACAGCCATGAACACAGAAGGCCTTAAGAAAAACCAATGATACATCAGTATCAGGAAGTACAAGCAGTAGAGAAGATAGCTTTACATGTGTCTGATAAAAATAATGTGAGCATTCAATCTATAACCATTTGTTAGCCATTGACATGTACAATGGGTACGGTTACTTACATTTGTGATTCCTGTTGTTTTAAAATATCAATTTCTGATCAACAGACTTTTGTTTCTCCAGGGCAACTGCAAGACAGAAATCAATAATGACTGACAATTGGGGCATACAAGGCAGTTTCAGGTTGGGTAGATGGATTCAATACAGCTACTAGATTTCAAAGAATTTTCCAAAAGAGAGACTACTGACTGAAGATCAAAAAATTGCTCTCAAGTGAAATCCAAGGATTGGTAAAGAATGACTAAATGAAAAAGAGAAAAGGATTGGAGGGAAACTGGTCCCAGCACGTGCTATGAAGAAATTACATCCCATCCAATGTATCATTTGTGTTCAAATACTGTAATCCATCTGCTTTACTAGAGAGAAAAATTGGAATAATAGAACATACATTTCATGAGATCAACTTTATGTGAGGCATATTATCTATATGTAATAATTTCAGAAAATATACAGACAGAAATGATCACATAGATTCTATTCAAAAGCACATGACTTGATGCTTATATGTATGCATTTTACATAGAAAAAGTAATCATTATTTTATTATAGGAATTGGACATAAAATTATAATTGATTATGTATATTAGAGAACCTCTATGACAAATTATTTGTTATATGATTATATTTTACCAAGTAGCAAGCCAAGAGTAAAAATATGGAACTATGAGTAAATGTTAAGACTCCAGTCTCTGGCCAGCGTAGTAGCTTAGTGGTTAAAGTCCTCATCTTACACACGCCAGGATCCCATATGGGTACTGGTCGTGTCCAGGCTGTTCCACTTGCCATCTAGCTCCCTGCTTGTGGCCTGCTAAAGCAGTCTAGGACAGTCCAAATCCTAGGACCCAGCACCCACATGGGAGACCCAGAAGAAGCTCTTGGCTCCTGGCTTTGGACCAGCTCAGCTTCGGCTGTTGTGGCCAGTTTGGAAGTAAACCAGTGGACGGAAGATCTTTCTCTCTATCTCTCTTTCTCTCTGTAAATTTGCCTTTCCAATAAAAATAAATAAACCTTGAAAAAAAAGACTTTGATCTCAAATCAGAGCAAGATGTATTTGAATGTAAGAAAATCTTAAAACTGAATTATCTAGTCAATGGAAACCAATATAGAATATAGACAAAAATTAAAATAAATTTGGAAAATACAATGGAGATATAAAATATATGTTATTGCTATATAACAAATATCTCTTCAAAAATACAAAAAAGAAAGCTTAAAAATAAGACTTAAAGTATCTTGACAATATTAACTATCAAAGAAAACACTTCATGTGAACCAATCAATTTCATTATTTTACTTTGCATTGTTTATCACTATAGAACATTTACATCCCTATATTCTAAAAAAATCTGAGTGTTTCATGAAGACATGATAGAAATCTGAATTCAATGATGAAAAATCACACAATAACAACATTCATTCTCCTGGGACTAACAGATGATCCACAACTTCAGAGTCTGCTTTTAATTTTTTTGTTTTTCGCCTACTTACTGAGTATAACTGGAAACATGGCTATTCTTTCACTTACATTAATAGATTCTCGCCTAAAAACACCAATGTATTTTTTCCTACAGAATTTTTCCTTCTTAGAAATATTATTCACATCAGCTTGTGTTCCTAGATATTTGTATAATCTATCAACAGGTGACAGGACTATTACATATTGTGCCTGTGCCATTCAAGCCTTTTTTACTGATCTGTTTGGAGTTACTGAATTTTTCCTCTTGGCCACCATGTCCTATGACCGCTACGTCGCCATCTGCAAACCCTTGCATTACATGACCATCATGAGCGGCAGAGCCTGTAGAAGTCTCATGCTCTGCTGTTGGATGGCTGGCTTCTTAATTATACTACCTCCATTTAGCTTGAGCCAGAGCCTGGAATTCTGTGACTCTAATGTCATTGACAGTTTTCTCTGTGATGTGTCGCCCTTCCTCAAGATATCATGCTCCGACACGTGGTTGATTGAGCAGATGGTGATAGGATGCGCTGTGCTGACCTTCATCACAACCCTGCTTTGTGTTGTCCTCTCCTACATATATATAATCAGAACTATTACAAGATACCCCTCAGCCCAGCAAAAGAAAAAAGCCTTTTCCACCTGCTCCTCCCACATGATTGTGGTGTCCATCACCTACGGCAGCTGCATCTTCATCTATATCAAGCCATCTGCAAAGGAGTCCGTGGCCATTAACAAGGGTGTGATCATGCTCATTACTTCCATCGCTCCTATGCTGAACCCCTTCATCTACACACTGAGGAACCAGCAGGTGAAGCAGGCCCTCAGTGACTCACTCAAAAGAATTGTATTATGGCTTCAGTTACAGCACAACAGACTGAGCCGACATTTGCGATGCCGGCATTCTGTATGAACCTCCCTTGGAATCCTGGTTATTCATTCCTTGTTACTCTAAATTCCATTCAAATTAAATTTCTCAAAATTTCCTTGCATCCATAAATTCTCTTAGTAAAGTCACTTGTTTTTACTACCTTAAATACACTTATTTTGCTAATACTACATTACTTTCTATGAGGAACAAAATAGTGCATCATGATTTGTCTTACAAAAAGTTTATAAACTAAACAAAATTTAAAATCAAAAAGGCAAGCTATATTAATAAAATATTAGATTTGTAATTAAAAATTAATAGTACTTGTTATCAACTTCTGTTCATAGCTTCATAAACTATCTCTCCATTAAGTTATGATCAATATTACAACTAAACACAAACAAAACCACTGATAATCTTGCTTTCATGGGACATATATCACAGAACAATATGGGTAAGATGCAAAAACAAATCACTGCCACTAGTAAGAATCATGAAACAAAATTTGAATGAAAGGTAGCCAAAACAACAACTAATCCAAACAATAATACAGATAATGCAAAATTCACATCTGTAAAGCTGAACCTTACACACATTCCTAAATGAACGTGATGAAAACCCATTTTAAAAGAATGAGAAGTGGGCCCAGCAGAATGGCTCAATTAACTAATCCTCCCATTCAGGTGCCAGAATCCCATTTGGGCACTGGTTTGTGTTCCAGCTGTTCCACTTCCCATCCAGCTCTCTGCTTGCGGCCTGAGAAAGCAATAAAAGACAGCCCAAAGCCTTGGGACGCTGTGCCCATGTGAGAGACCTGGAAGAAGCTCCTGGTTCCTAGCTTCAGATCAACTCAATTCCAGCTGTTGTTCCAATGACATTAGATCCTGTGACGAAGGATCTGGGCTTCTTCCATCCCATGTGGGAGATCCGATAGGGAACGGATGACCTCAGAGTTCTCGGCCTACGAGGGCACTCCAATATGCCTTGTTAGAGTTATAACCCAGTTTAGACTATCCCAAAATTCACCAAGGTCAGTAAAAATTATGCTTCAACACTATAAACTGCTAAATACTAAAATGAAAATAGACAGCTGAATAGTACCCTAGAGCCATTTTAAGGTGTATAGCAGCCAGTTGTATATATAAACTAAAATTGAAATGTCAATGAAGTAGTCACAGGATGTGGTTAAGAACTTGCATTTTCTAACATATCGATCACTCAATATTATGTCAATTAACTCCATAATGTTGTAAAGTGCTGTTGATGTTATGTTGCAGCTTTTCATTGGACAGGATGATATTCTGCCAACTCTGCTTTCAGACCAGCGATGTCTCCACAAGAAACTGTTGAATTTATCTAGACAATAAGATGCTGGACTCTATGCATGGTACATGCTTGCAATGAAAGGATCATGACTAGATTTGAACTGTAATACTGCAATAAGGTGGAGTAATCCACCATGGGGGAGAGTACAGGGAGGGGTTGGGGGAACCCCAGAGCCTATGAAATTATGTCATAAAATGAAATGTAATGTAAATATTTTTTAAAAAGTGAGAGAGAGGGCCCGGCACGGTGGCGCAGTGGTTAAGGTCCTCGCCATTGAGTTAGGTTCAAGCAAAACAAATTTGTGTTTACTCATCACATTAGAAATCAAAGAAGGATGCCTAGCAATGGCCAACAGAATTGGTTATTGGAAAAGGGTGTACACTACATGCCTATGCTCCGAACCAATGGGACTGTTAGTCAGTCAGACAATAGAATTGTGCATTGTTCTTGCTGTCATGGCTCTAAGATGTAAAGGTTACTGCTTCCATCCTGTTTACTCCCTCTTAACATCAGTCAGACATTCCATGGGTCATAGAGTTTGCTGAAAACTCAGTCTGAATTTGCCAAATCTATGGGACTGAATACATGGCATCTTTGAAGTATAGATATTGAACTTAGAGATCTAGAATCACCATTCACAATAAGCAGCATGAGTAAGAGTGTCCGGAAACCATAGCAGAAATAGTCAAGAGAAAGCTCTTTGTGCGTTTACTGAGTACCAGTAAGTCATAGCAAAGCATAAAACACACCCTGGGGACAAATGATTTTTTATTCAGTACTTGGGATGTACCACTCTCTGTTGCTTCAAATACCAAACCCAGTTTCATTGCTTTTCTGAAAACAAAAAATTCAAGTACAAAGGGGAGTGATGAAAACACAGATGGGTAGCACAATAAGGACATTGATTTTGGAATTCAAATGCTGGTAAGCCTTCTAAATATTGAGGCAAGGAGATTGCGTAGCATGCTGAAGCAGCAGGATCTCTACTTCAAGTCACTTCCATTCAAAACCCATTCCACTGCTGTGAGGTATTCTCATGGGTCATTCCTCTGCTCTTCATGTTCTTCCACTGTAAGATTAGGAAAACTATTTTTTACTTTACATGAAATTTATGCTGGATGTAAATATTATGTGATATATAACTGCCACGCACAGTGTCTAACCCTGGAAGAAACACAGAGATTCAACAAAGAAATCAAGCAGAATCCATTTGATGTCAGACTCTGAAGGTCTCTGAGGATGTTAGCCCCATTGCTACATGTGTTTTCAAATTTGTTGATTAGCTTTTCACTGACTCATTAGTTAGTCACACTTCTGAAACTTGGCCACCAAGGACTCTTTGTGGCTCAGAGGTTCTCTGCATAGTAGGAATATAAAACTATTGTTATTGTTATAGAAAGTGCCAGGGAGCTTGCCTCTCTAGCCAGGAAGTTCGTATGAGCTCCTCTGACAATATAGGAAGAAATTTTTCTTTTTCTCTACACCACTCTTTTCTTCCACTGAATAACATAAATAGGAGACCATCAGATGCCTTGAGTTTCACATTTAGTGAAGGAAGAGGCAAGTGGCTCTGGCCTCTTACCAAAAACAATGAAACGTTAAGCCAGAATTGTCCCTTGTCAGGCTGTCCATTATCACACTGTGTATATGAATGCATGAATGTGTTTGTGTCTGTGTGTGCACATGTGTGAATTCCTTGGAGGTGAAGTTGGGGACTGACCTAAGTGGAATACTAGAGTGAGGAAGGACAAATGGGCAAAGTGCCTCACCATCTTAGTGCTCCTCGAAGTTTGCTCTTCTCAAGAACTGCTACAAAAATAAAGAATAAAGAAGAGCTGTTACAAAAGTAAGTATGTAATTATTATGATGCATTCTGTCATATTGCCTAAACACAGGCAGAAGATGAATACAATCAGGCTTTAAGTCTGGAATTCAATTGGCTAACAGTGATACTTCTGAAAATGAAGTGTGACGAATATTTCTGGTAAGTTCCTATTCCAAAAGAATGTGAAACCAGATTTTTCTTGTGATGATTACTTAATCCTTTACCTACCCATGGAAGAGACTATTTCTAGGGTGATAGAAAAAGTTGTAGAAAGGACATATCCATCCAATAACATGTGCTAGTGTCATAGAAATCAAGTCTGCGTGTTACAGATTACCCTACAGGGCCTTTCACTTTATCTGCCTTTAAGAATCTTTTCGAGTCTTTCTTGGGAGTCTCAGCATTCAGACCCTTCTTGAATCTAAACTATTCAGACCATGGGCAACTTCTGTTCCAAATGAAAACTAAGTGAGGTTTGTTCCAAAAATAGATAGGGTGAATTGTCTCAAATATATTTTGAAACTCACCAAGTAGAGAATCTATGAAGCAAAAAAGAACTGATACTTCATCACTGTTGCAGCTCTTAAAATTACAGCATGAATGAATAACATTACTTAAGTTAAGAGATCAACGGCTGCCTGTTAATATTCATTGTGATCATTCACGTGTCAACATGATTGTGTTCACTAGTCTTTCCAAACGTGTGTAGAATAGGAGTTCATGTAAGATAAGAAAGGAGTAAAACCTAAGGATGTTATTGGTCAGGGAGAATTAGAATAAGAAAGCTGAAGGCTGGTATAAACACTATGTACTCTACAACGGAAGAGAAGGAAGGAGGGCATAAAGTGGAGGAAAACAGGGGGAGAGGAAAGAAGGGAGGAAAATCAGGAGTGCAAAAATGAATGTTCTCTATATTCCATTCAAACCAACAGGGATTTTCTCCTAGCAAGTACACAGCAAGATCCCATCTCTCAATTGAACTCTGCTTCCCAGGAACCAAGGATGGGGAAGTTTTCCCTGTTTCAAAATCAGGTCTGTAAGCCATAAACAATGTGCCTCACTAACCCAGAGCTGACATTGCCGACCGAAGTAAGGAGAATAAGGGAACTGAGTGAACAAGGAAAAATCCCAGCACCTACCAGAGAAACTAAGAGCAATCGTCAAGCAACTCTCACAAAGTAGCTACTTCCCAAATCCAGGCACATGCTCAACTGTTTTTGCGTTACCATATCACAGAATGCAGTGGTAACCTGGACGCTCCTTTTCAGGGAACTACTTAATACTTAGAGTTGGATCTCCAGTCTCTGACCTCAGACTCTGGAAATAATAGGTTCTCCCACGATAATTATTCAAATGAGTAAGTATCAAGCTGTTATTTGAGCAATCGAAAAGAAGGAAAACCAAAAATGTTTATTCTCAATCTGAAATTTACACATTTCTCTAAAAATCTAACAGTTTATGAATGTTCTACTGTTAAAATTCATCATAACAACCTATAATGGCCACCATTACATCCTAATCCACTGATTCTTCCTGGTTTCGGAAACCAAATATTTTGCTGTGGTAGGGAAAAGAAAGCAAATGAGAACAGAGAAAGCGTCATATCTGTCAATTTCTTCCAAGAACAAGCAAAACCTATATAGGTCAAAGCAACATTGTTGATAAATTGCAATCAAGATATATGATTTATGTTTTCAATTGTTTTTATTTGACATATTTTAAAATATGGTTTCTAATCTGAGAATGAAAAACTGAAGGCCTGTTAGATATGTCCTGTAGGACACTCGAACACGAGACACAGCTGTGTTGTAAAAGATGAAGTACATGTGGGCTACTTGAGGGTCCTTCCGCTCTGGTTCTAAAGCCAGCTTCTCTGGATACTTCTCTGCAGGTACAGTCATTTCCGACCTAGCACAAGGCAGTGATGAGAAATCACACAGTGCTAACAACATTCATCCTGCTGGGACTGACAGATAACCCCAAACTACAAGTTCTGCTTTTCGTGTTTTTGTTTCTCACCTACATGTTAAGTGTGGCTGGAAACCTCACTATTATCACCCTTATACTTCTAGATTCCCACCTTAAAACTCCCATGTACTTTTTCCTGCAAAATTTCTCTATCTTAGAAATCTCATTCACCACAGTCTGCATTCCCAGATTCTTGTACATTATAACAACAGGAGATAATATTGTTTCCTACAATGCCTGCGCCACCCAATTATTTTTTATTGTCCTCTTTGGAGCAACAGAGTTTTTTCTGCTGGCTGCTATGTCCTATGACCGCTATGTGGCCATCTGCAAGCCCCTGCACTACACGACCATCATGAACAACAGAGTCTGTACCACATTCGTTCTCTGCTCTTGGCTTGCTGGCCTCTTGATTATTCTCCCTCCTCTTGGCATAGGCCTCCAACTAGAATTCTGTGACTCAAATGTGATTGATCATTTTGCCTGTGATACATCACCCATCCTACAGATAACTTGTTCAGACACAGCACTAATAGAGAAAATTGTCTTGAGTTTTGCCATACTGACCCTCATCATTACCCTCATATGTGTCATTCTCTCCTACATATACATAATCAAGACCATTCTAAAACTTCCTTCTGCCCAACAAAGGAAGAAGGCCTTTTCCACCTGCTCCTCCCACATGATTGTGGTCTCCATCACCTACGGCAGCTGCATCTTCATCTATATCAAGCCTTCAGCAAAGGAAGGAGTAGCCATTAATAAGGTGGTGTCAATCCTCACAACCTCTGTTGCCCCTTTGCTTAACCCATTCATTTACACACTTCGAAACAAGCAAGTGAAAGAAGCCTTTAGAGACATGGTAAAATGGATTGCACTTCTCACAAAGAGGTAAGAGACCATCGTACTCTTTAAAGCTAACTTAAATTTACATGTGATGCATTCACAAATGTGACATACATATGTCTTCTATTCTGCAGATATGGCAATGTAACCATTCCCCAGGAACATTTTTCTGTCATAATCCAAACACCAAAACCAAGCAGTTTGCTCCTCTTCTTTTTAAGTTTATTTTATTCAGAATGGCTACCTCATTTAACATGTACATCAGAGGTTACATTCCCCAAATTCCAAATGTCATTAAAAAATACAAATAAGTAAAAGTTTTATTTCTGTATAACCTTTCATTATGTAGAAGCTAAAGATCTGGGGACAATTTATTTGCTTTGGAAATAATTCAACATATAGCACCCCAATTATAATTAAAGTTTTTTTTTTAATTGAAGCTCATATGGGTTATAAAACAAAATTTTCGCTCGTGAGTTCTTTCTTACTTTAAAATTTTTGTTTTCAGGAATGAGTAGAAGATGCAAATGAGCAACTTCAAAACAAGTGACTATAATTATATTGTCCTATTAAGTCAATATCCACAAAATATTTTAAAAATCCACTAGCCTTTCTAGAAATTATTTGAATGTGATGTATCTTGAAAGATGATGTGACTGTAAGACAAAAAAGAACATGACACAATTCTCAGGGCCTTCTACTGACATTGTTATTGGTGACGTTTAGACTCAGGCAGAAGAATAAGACCTGAATTCAGAGGCAGACTAAATCATGATTGGGTAAATTCTCCACGCTGTGCAGATCTGCATTGTCCTTTGATTTTTACATTCGAGATTAAAAAGATTGATCAACATGCCAAATAATCCATCATTTGGGAAGGGCATCCTACATCTCATTTGGTATGCCCAATACAGCTAATTTCTGAAGATAAAATGCAGACATAATATGATCAAATGAGTAGGCCTAGAAAAGAGAGAGAGATAAGAAAAACAGGTAAGAGTCACAATTCAAATTCAATTAAATGGTTAAAAAGTACGTTTATTGTTTTCATGCTGTAATAATTGTGCAAATAAACTTTTATGCTTTCATTACATTTCCAACTATGTTCTTTGTTTATAAAACATAACGGGGTGAAGATGCTGTGGTACAGGAGGTTAAACTTCTGTTTGGGATGCTCTCACTCCACCTTGTAGCATGTGAGATGCAGTCCCAACTCCACTTCAGAGCCACCTCAGAGGCAGGTGCTGATGGCCCCAGGTGGGAGACTCATTAAATGTTCTTATGATACATGTACATACTTAGTTGTGGAGTCAATTGCTTCACTTTAAGTTGTTTCCAATTTACCATCTAACAACCAAGTGTATCTGAAGAGAATCAACACTTACAATGAAAGATGAGGAATGGGCGTTTGACTTAGAGATTGAACCATGAGTTGAGATACCCAAATTTACATCACAATATCCCGGATAAATCCCCAGCTCTGGTTCCTTGTTTTATCTTCTGGCTAATGCAAGCACTAATATCAATGACAGTTCAAGCAAATGGAGCTCCTGCCACCAAACAGGGAGACCAGAGTTGAAGTCCTGGTTTCAAACTGAAGTGGCAGTCTTGGCTATTGTAGTCATTTGGAGAGTGAACCGACCCATGAAAACATTGTTTCTCTTCCTCTTCTCATCTGCCTCTCCTTCTCTCTACTTCTCCCTCTGCTACTTCCTCTCCCTTTCCAATAGCTAACAAAATGAAAGATGATTATCTACTTCTACTCCACTGAGTTTTTCCTCTTTTGCTTTCCCAACAGTGAGAAGAAATGCAAAAAGGTAGCACCATGTCGAGTCTTTAAAGCCTTAGCATGAAGCTAGAGGCAATACATCAAATAACTGAAGTCACTTCTTCAACCCAATTTGGTTGAAATTGTATATGGCTTTCCAATTTCCTAAGTCTGAACAATGAAAAACTCTAGAATTTACAGAGTTTGATTTTAGCAGGTTTGAGAAATTTTACGTAGCAGTGGAAGATGTTTGCCATGTGTGAATGATACTTATGTCTCTGGCACAACTCTCTTTTTTATTTTTATTTTTCATGATGCCATTCCATAGGCTCAGGGATTTCCCCTTCCATCCTATCCATTTCCCTCTCTGCACCATTGTTTCCTCCTGTATCATTACAATAATAGCATCCTTCAACAACAGTTACACATCCATCATTATGCTATTTAAGTGTATCATGATATTGTAGATACAGACAGTGGCAGAAAGTCCAGCATCCTATTGTCAAGATATATTAACAGTTTCACTGGGAGTCCATATTTTATTTGGGAGTAGAGAAACAGAATAACAGAGTTCAGGCACAACTCTCTCAGCTCTTCTCTCTAGATTCGTATCTGTCTCTTCCATCAGAAAGTTTTTGCTTACATCTCATATTCCTGTCATGGTTATCACAGTTCTAATCTAAAATTTTAATTTTTCAACCAGAATTATCTTAACAACTTCTAACCTATGTAATAATATATAATAACCCAAATGTTATTTCAATGAGCCCAGTACTAAGTTGAAATAGTTTCCTTTTAAGCTCTGAAATTTAAAATTCATCCTCTTAATAACCAAAAATTTTGTTCTGGGAAGGAGGTGGTGAGCAGCATTTTACTGCAGTGTGAAAGCCACTGCCTCTGACACTGGAATCCAATAAGGTACTGGTTCAAGTCTCAGCTTCCTGCTGATGCATCTGAGAAAACAGCCAGCTGTGGTCAGGGGCTTGGGCCTGACATCCATGTAGAAAACCTGGGTGGGATGTCAGGCTCCTGACTTTGACCAGCCTTAGTCATTGCAATAATTTGGAGCATGGAAGATCTTTCTCTCTCTTTATGTTCCTTCCTAAATACCTACCTTCCTCCCTCGTCTCTTTCTTTTTTAAAAAGAGGGAAAATTAAAAGTGCGTCCATGAAAAGTCCTCAGATAAAGGATTAGAAGGAAAGAAAACATTAAACAATACAGGTAAGGCAACAAAAAAATTTTTTCCAGTTCCATCTAAAATCAGTCATCATTCTTTTATTTATTCATTCAACAGTTATTTACAAATAACTATTCCGTTCCAGTCATTGTTTCACACATTAAGACTATTACACTTAACAGAGGAAAAAGTCCCTTTACACTCTCAAAAAGGACAAAGAGGATGCTTATAACACAATTAGAACCTCCCAAATTCACTCCTTCCTTTTCTACAATACTTCTTCAAACCTTAGAAAACAAAACTAAATCCAGTCACATGATAGAGTGTGCCCAAGAAGCAAAGAAACCAACTGAAAGCACTTCCAATGGTCAAAGCTGAAACTAAAGAAAGTAGTGTTCTGTTACAGCCAAAGTATAAATGTCTGAATCCATACAGATACAATGAATGACTGAATAAATAAGCAAATAGTGATGCAGGGGCGGGGGGGAAACAAGGAAACTATTCTGTTCAGACACATTCCATATAATTAATGCAGATACTCTGCCCCAAGGAAGGCGAGCGTAACTCCTCACTCCTGTGTGCAGAAGGATGACTTCTAAGCAGTACAGTACAGAATGGTGTGGAGAGGAGGAAAATTTACAGTGGAAAAACTTGAAAAAAAAAACTATCTCAGCAGGTGATCCAAGTCAACTGTCATGTTGATGGTAGGTATACTGGATAAGATTTGACAAAAATGATGTTCTTTATGATGATAACAGATTGCAATAGTTTGGGGTGGCATCCTATAAAATATGTGAAAAGTATTCTTCAAAACTCTCAATGTTGCCAAAACTTCCCAGAGGATGGGGAAAGATACATAACTAATGGAATGTAGTATCATAGATGAGATCCCTCTCTCTGCCTTCTTAATAAATACATTTAATAAATTTACACTCTGTTTAGCTGCTCCGGACAGCACAGCCAGTAACATGGACAGAGACAGTGATGGCAGAAGTCTCTGCGAAATCTCCCTTATTGCCCCTTAACCTCACCTTATATACTCTTTCCCCCACATCCTCATTTAGCAGAATATTGGATACAGATGAGTCCAATTAGTCTAGGTGTTTTTAGCCACAAGCCCAGTTCCTGTTCCTGCCCAGTTCAATGAGCGCTAATCAACTCCTTAGCCCACAACATTTAGCCTTGTCTGTTACCCCATGAATCATACCTGCATATCAGTTTTAGTAATATCTCCTATTCTGGAGTGTGTGTTTTCATTTCCTTCAAAGAATATATGGTGTTTCCACTATTATCTGTGAAGTAGTATACATTGTGACCTCCAGGGATAAAAGGTAGGTTGTCCCCAAGAGGCAGGTGCTCCAGCCTCTAGAACAAGGTTTCTCAGAAAGCTGCTACTACACTCAGTACTGTACCACTACTTTTCTTCATTTAGACTCCAGGCAGTCATCTTAGAGCACTTGGTGTGGCCATGGCAGCCAACATCCCTCAACGCACTGGGTCTTAGGATAGCAGGCAGACCCAGTTGCTTCCCTTCACACTTGACCTCTGAATCAAGTCTACTCAGCCAACACAAAGGTCGCCGGGTAACATGTCCTCCAAGTCACACCCTCACGATAGAGTTTTGGGCAGTAGGATTGACGTTCCAAAGACCATTCTTCTAATGGGTGTCATGCCAGATCCTGAGCTGTTTCTTGAAAATGCCTACATCAACAAAAACCAAAACTTAAACCTGATCAATCAGAAGGAGACAATCCAATTACATCACTGGGAACTTTCCAGTAGGGTATAACAAATAAAGCAGCTGTACAGCTATGACCAACATATTTGGTTTGCTTCATCTCAGGGGGGTTTCCTTCCAGTAGGTCCCCAAAGCCACCGAGGGGGTGAAGTGATAATATTCATCAGCTACAACCACCAGAGACAGTCTGCTGGAGCATGTCCATTTGTTGTAAAGTGAGCACAATCTTATACAAACTAGGAAACGGGGAAGGCAGAACGGCGTTCCCTGACAGTCCTCCCACCCAACAATGACGCCGTAACTGGTTAGAAGGCATGTCTTTCTGGACCCTCCAACCAATTCACAGGTCACGTTCCCTCGCACAG